TGAATTGAGGCAGTTGTCTACATGTGCTTTATAGACTTGGAGCTCATGTCTCCTGGGGTGTCATGTGGGGGTTGCTGTGGGGACTTCTTGATAGGAGCCATCAAAACTATGTGGGCCTTTTACACCGGAGAGAGAGCAATCAAATGTTCTCTATGGTTTGCAGGCTTTGCTAAGATTAAGTGTTCTCTCACTAATATCAGACCTTTTATTTCAAAATGATTGTTAAAAATCTCAATTAGAAGAAAAGCATTGCAATGTTAGTGAGTGAAAAATGCTACCAAGCTGGAAGTACTGCTTTTTCTGTGAGGAGAACTTGTATGACTGCAGTAAAAAACGTTCACATTTTCATAATTGTTGGTCATAGACACAACTATCAAAAAACAAAAAATTCCAGTTGAACTAAGTTAGTAATGCAGATACAACTCTGATATTCCACAACTCACTATGTACACTTTAGTGTGCTAAAATAAAGAAGTACATTGTACTTGATTGATTTTTTTAAATCTTTTCCCCAAATCAGCATTGCAATTGACAAATCTAAAGATGATTTTCTGTTATGTCCTAAAAATCTCAAAAGTTTCAGATGCTATAAATTTATCATAATCTGCAATACTTTTCTGGTAAGATCAAGACAAACTCTGTTATTATCAGTTCATTAAGTGCATTGAAACAGAACATAAAGACTGTAAACAACATGTCAGTATAGATCACATGACATGTGAATTAAAACAAAAATTATAAACACATGACAAATAAATTCACTCTACTCTGACTATCAGTAGCAACATGTGATTGGTAGAACTCTCTTTAAGATTGCTTTTGTATGAGAAAGTCAACCTAAATTGAAACAATTCTGCCTCCTACAAAAGCTTATTCTGTTTGTATCTGTATCTGCATTGTAATGTTGAAATATTTTAGAGGTGTAGGACTAAATTCCCTATGCTGACCAATTTTACCCCCAGAACCTTATGTCTATAGACCAAAATGCAAAGCAGCACCAGCCATTCTGCTGCTGTAATTATCCATTTATATAGCTAATGGTAACTCCACATGGACCTGCACCCTATAATGCAACAGCTTCAGGAAGGGTCTTGTAAAAAATAATCAGTGAAATAGAGCCCAATGTAGAAGTATGTAGAAAGTTCACCTGGCTGTTGGAGTGTACTTAAAAGGCATTTATTGGTTGATTTGTTGTGCTGATAGACTACCAAAAAGTATCCCTAAAAACAGCACACATTGGAAATGAAAACCTAACAATAATTGGAATAAATTGTAAACAAATAAATCCCTTTGAAAACATTTCATTGCATGGTAGTTTTTAAACAACTTATAAAAGTGCTCCAAAGTTGCAGTTGACAAAGATCAGCTTCATCAAGTAATCAAAATCTTATATACTACAATCAAAGTTACATGATGATATACTTTGAAGTCACTTCTGAACATATGCAATAAGGACACAGAGATGGAATTTGCTAACTGAAAAATATGTCAAATAAGCAGGTATGGCAAAATAACTCATGTAATGCATTAAACATATCAAAATAAACCTTCTGACTATGGAAATGGCCTTTAATATGCCTCATATAGATTTATGACATTTGCATAAAGTATGTGATTAAACACATCAAGTGCACTAAACCTCATCCATTACAACCTTGAACACATCCTTACAAATGCCCAAAGTGTGAGCTGTGACATGGCTTTTTACTGCAAAGCGGTGTGGGTCAGAGCAGCAGCGGCCTGAAATTAAAACACTCCTGCTACGTGCTGGTTGTGTGGCATTTTAGTTGTCTGCTCCTGTTGTCACCATGAGGAAAGAGGCAGTGCACCAGTTTAAGGGCCAGTTAGGGGAGGCTATGGGCTAGATATGAAGATTATACAGCCTTGTAGCAGAAGTGCTGCTCAGCATAATGGGGTTTATAGGCCTGGGGGCAGAGTTTGTTTTACGCCCTGCCGGAGGAGGTGTTGACAGGAGCGAGCGATGGAGGAGCAGGAGAGACAGTATTATTATTAAGCCTCACCTCACAGAGAATGAATATGTTGTGATGGTCGTGGTGGTAGATGAGTTTAGCCTGCACATGAAGAGCTTAGGAGGAGGGTGCGGGTCGGAGGAGCATATAACACCTAAAATTGGATTTGTCTTCAGGGGCTGGTGGTTGAGGTCCACTTGGCCTGGCTGTGGGAAGATCAATGGCACTATTGGCCCTAATGGATGCAGTTGCCAGATAGGGCTGTTTCTGATAAGGGAGGCGTATTGGCTTTAGTGGTGGAGATGCAAGCTTGGTTAACTCTGTGTTTAAAAGAGCTTCTTCTGTCTCTGTGGGTGAAAACACATTGTTTCAGGGTGTACACAGGCATAAGCGTTAGAGCGTTCAACCCTTGCTTGCTTGTCACGACAGCCCGAATGTTCAATTTGGTATCACACAGGTTGGAATCTCTGCAGCTGGTGGTGTGCTGTTTCACCATCAGATACGGATCAGGGCTCAGTTTGGGCCTTGGAGGCTGTGGAGAGTTCAGTCTTGAGATAGTGGCGGGAGAAAGGAGGGGGAAATGCAAAACAGCAGGAGGAGAAAGACAGACAGTGTGTTCTCAACACCAATGGTGTATCTGCCCCACTTCCTCCCACCACGCCGCGCCAGCACAGCAGGGCGATGCCAGAGGTTTCACCCCAGTGCAGTAACTGCTGCAGAGGCCTTGGCACCTGAACATAACCCAGGGCAAAGAGAGCGCCTGCATGTCTCTCAACCAATACGCCAGCAAGGCATAACACACACCATCACAAGGCAGAGCACAGGAGGAGAGAGCTGCCTCGTCCACAGGGCAGAGGCAGAAATACTAGATGGCAAGCTTTCTGTCTTCATATGAGGCACATTAATCCTCACAGTGGCTCCCATCTTTATTCATTCATTGGCCTGTGGTGTCCACTCAATCAGTCAGTTAAAGGCTGGCCTGATGGAGCGAGCCCTGCACACCCACCACAGTGAGGGAGGAGAGAGGAGGGGAGGTTATACTCCACACCATATAGCCTGAGTAGACACTGCAGTACAGAGATACAAACAGAGTGGGTTGGGGAGGAAGAGGAGGAAATGTGAGGGGGCTCTTTTAAATAATGAGGCAAGGGGGAAAGGAGAAAGGGAGAGTGGGGGGAGATGAGACAACTGGAGGTGAAAAGATAGCAGTCTTGTATCAAGAGTGATGAGATTGAGAGGTTCAAAGTAAAGGAGGGAGAGAACCGTCAATATCAAGAGCGAGAGATAGGGAGAGATCCGGGACGACGACGACACCTCCACAGACTACTGAGGTATGTATGTGTGAGAGAGGGAGGGAGCAATGTGGTGGTGGAGCGTGTGTGAGAGTTAGAGAGAGGGAGGGATATCCACTGCACTGTTGTGTGACTGGAAATTTAATAGAGAGAGAGAGGGAGGGAGGCAGGAAGGGAGCAGGGGAGGGGAGAGGAGAGAGAGGAAGGAGCGACGCAATGCAAAAGCACTGAGCGAGAGCCGTTGTTGTTGGAATTATAGAGGACTTGGACAGACTGTGGACGATGCTAGACCCACACTGCAGAGTGTGGGGATGTGTGTGTGTTGGGGGGGGTCAAGTGAGTGAGCACATATAGTGCATAAAGTGGAAAAGGGTGGCCAAGGCCATGCAGAGTGGGCTGTGTTTAGTAATAGAGAAACAGGTTGGCCACCCTGTTGCTGCATCCAGACTAAATATTTTGGGGTCAGTCATTACCTAGTTCCCCTTCTAAATTATGCCTCTGTGTGTGTTTATGTGTTTGTGTGTGTTTGAGTGTGTGATAGAGCTGGAAGGTATGGAAGGCACGTGTGTGAAGAGTGTGTGTAAGAACACGTGCCTGTGATGGAGAGCTGGAGCTGAGGTGCGAGGATGTGAGAGAGTGATCCTCTGAGTCTCGATATAGAACGTTATCAATCCAGCACTAATCACCCGTCTGAACCCCCCTCACCCACCCCACTCCCCAACACACCTCCCTCCCTCTTTCCCTTTGCTATCTGATGGACACTCAACCACCCACTCACTCTCTCACATACATCCTCACGTTAATATCCTGCTGAGGTGATTGACAGCTCTCCCCTGATCAGATCTGTAACCTTAACCTCACCTTAAACCTCACCCTAGCCCCCTCTTTTAATTATGTACCCCCCCCACCTCTTATCCCAGGAGAGCCTCTGCTAAACTGCTCTCTCTTGAGATCAATCACAGAATTTCTCACATTCTTTAAAGAAGAGTTTGGCTTCTGTAAAATAAACACTCAGTCTCTCCTTTGACTCAGCTGCCTCCATCTCAGTATGTCAATACATTTGAATACTGTATATATGATGATGGGAGCGAGCTGCAATGGCAGGCTCAAATCCAATGAGGCAGTACAGGTGGGGCTCTGCACTGTGTGCTTGAGTGTTGCCAAGGGAACCGGCCAAGCTGCAAATGTTCCCCATAACAAGAGCAGCACCATCATCATATTATAGATATAACATGACCATATGGACAAGTGTTTTGTTTCAAGTATTTGAAATACAAAAATAACAATAACTGAAGAAAGAAAGAAAATATGACAATGTGAAGACACTGGAGCGTGACTTCATCAATTATAATAACATTTATAAGGATGATTATTATTATCATGTGAATTTGTTTATTATGTCATCTCATTTTGGGTCAGCCTATTAATATTAAAGCCACTGTCATAGGCTGCCTGGATCTTGTGTGAATGGCCATTTGTTGATGGAGAGATTGCAACAGGAGTCATTGTAATATTTTTGCATTAAAAATAAAATAAAATTTGAGTAAATAAATAAAGTTCAATATTCAATGCCCCAGCAGCAGAGTGTAACGTCCCCTCACCGTCGGCCAGTGGTTCCATCCACCTGAAGATTTCTGAGACAATTCTCATTACCAGCTGTGGCAGCGCAGCACTTGGAAAGGGTGAATCAATCTGAGAGAGGGTTAGAGAGAGAGAGAGAGAGAGAAGAAACAGTGAGGGAGACAGAGGAGAGAGTGAGAGGGGGGGGGGCGAGGAGAGGATAGGAGAGGAAGACAGCGTCGGCGGCGGCTCTGCAGTGGAATACGTTGTTATTTGAGGGAAGGTGAGAGCTCTCGGAGTACCCGAACAGCGCGTGTTGAGCAAGATGTGTTTCAGGACTTGATCGCAGCATCCTAATATAAAGGTAAGTCTCCCATCACTCACCGCATCTATCGATGACATTCACACAGTCGAGATGCAGATTCATGTGCATTGATTTTGTTGTTTGTCTGGTGTGTGTTTGTGCGCGCGCGCCCAGACAGTTTAATACATTTACTCCACGCGCAACAAAGTACTAATGTGTTTAAATGGAAATCCGCATTCGTGACCTGATATGATGTGTGAACAGTCCTGGGGTGTAATCCGGTATTGGCCTCCTCACTGGCTGCGTGGCTCTGAAGGTGGCTGATATCCAGGAATTACATGTATGATGAGACGCGTGTGAGAGAAAATTGAATTTGGAAATTAAATTGATTTGCATTATCTGATTTGCACCATTTGCACAGATCAAACTTTTCTTACATTCCCATCCCCTGTTTAGTCTTTTTGTTTGTCAACACAAGTTAATCTAACCTTGGTGATAAGAGGAGCATTTACTGTAGCACAAGCGGTTGACGGGGCTTAATATTTGATCCGTTTAACGCGCAGCTTTCACTCAAATGTACTCAATTAAACCTCCCTAATCGGAGCAGTTTACAGTGTCAGTTTGTTTGTTGGGGTTCAGTTACCCTCGCTGGCCCCCGGTGATGACCCCAGATTTGGGGGGGAAATGCGCAGGCACCTTGCGGCTTACGCACGGTGGGTTAAACTCTGAGTCAGAGCCTAGGGCCCCTCCGGCTGAGAACAAGGAGCAGATAGATTAAGACTGATGAATGAAGATCTACTGCCTCTATCTGCAGCACAATGATACGGTTATGAGAGGATTTAAATGCTAATGTGCAGTGTTTCAGAGAAACCCGAACGGCTGCGACTGGCGGTAGGAGATTGTTGGCAGTGTGTGTGCTGTGGACCAGCTGGATGATCTCCTGAGTTTTATGATAGAGAGAATAAGTTATTAATGGGGTGTTGGAAGGTGAAGTGGGGCACTGGGGCAGGATTAGACAAGAGAAGGGGTGGGGGGTGAGCGGTGTGTATGGACTGTGTGTGGGTAATGCACTGAGAGAGCCCCCCCCCCCCCCCCAACACTGCTGAGGAAGGAAGGAGAAGGAGAATTTAAAGGAAATTCTGGAGTACAGTAAGGTATTTCTGTTAACACTTAAGGCTGGTGTCATTTAAATGATTGTTATCCCCACAGGCCGATTATGCTCTACTGTTTTGCTGCTTACATTTTATGTGTGATTTTTATTCATTCCCCTATATTAGATTTAATGCTTGTTACAGTACCTGTAAACTTCTACGCCATCATAGCTCAACCGTCAAGTGAATGACCATGACACATACCATTTATGAGCCCTCGCTTCACAGCGTATTCTTTCTATTAGCTCCAAATAAGCCTACAGACGTAAAACTTTAAGAGGATGATACATTTTTATGTTGCTTGTAAAAGTATGTATTCTATCCAATCATACTGTGGGCTTTATGTTCAATAGTGAGGAAGTAAGGCTTCTTCCCCAGCTGATCATGAACTGTAGCCTATACAACAGCACCAGTCACTGCAAGGTCCCGGCTTCATGAGAAGCTTGTCACATGATATCACCTTTGAAGGCATCGTCCTCCAGCTCAGGGCAGAACTTCAAAATATCAAGACGTCTCACTGCTACAAAAGCGAGGCCAAAATGTCAATGGAATTTGTTCGTCTTGAACTTTGTCGCTTCCTTCCTCCCACTCCACAACCAACGTGTTACCTAAGGTGAAATTAATTCAAAGTGGGCCAGGTTACTGAAAGGCAGCAATTTGTGAGAATGCGGCCACTCAAACGAAAACAACAAAGTAGTCTGTTCAGCGTCTGTGACGTGGTTTTATGGATGGAGGGATGTGAATTCCTACAAGCCTCATTCTTTGGATATTGGTGGCAGAGAAATTTGGGGACAAGCTGCGGTAAATTAGTAAAGGCCTGGAAATGCAGGAAATCTATCGCACAACTTTTTAAGTCCTGAAGGATCAAAGTCATGACACCTCTTGACCTAATATGCATGTTGTTAAAATTTAACAATGTCCTGATTCACAAGGAAAGGTTAACACAGATTAGTTAATGGGACGCAGGTGGAATGTTTTATTCAGTTTATTTCCCCTTTAAGGATTCTGCACATGTAACAGGCTCCACATTTAGACTGTTACACTGGTTTCTTCAAGCTCTTCATTGTGGTTGACCTAAGGAAAGACAAATTCTATGCTGCCCTGTAAGAAAGCTGAAATCATCCAGCATCTCTTTCACAATTAATACAGCTGATCCACTTTTTATTCCTCAGCAGCTGATCTACGGTAGAAACAAAATATGCTGGACTCAGACACACAAGTCTGATGGCTTCAAAAAAGGAGCAATGAAAGCAAGTGGTCGTCTTAATCTAAAAAAACTGTCATCCGTTCATTTCCGTTCATTTCAACACATAGACCCACATGTCCCACAAAACAGAGCTGACTCCTTCCTGTGTCGCAAATTTAGCACTGGCTGAGCGATTTCAGTCATTTGAGGAATCAGGCCAGGCTGCTCTTTAATTTCCGAGGCACACCACTTATGCATGGCCGATGAGCTTGATGAAAACAAGCAAGCAGGTTAACAGGGACATGGTAAATTACACCTGCACACCTGGCCTAGAGGGAAGGTGTGACTTTGAGATAATACTCAGCCCCCTACTGCTCCAGCGCTGTTGGAATTGTGGAACCATTGCAGATTATTTCCAGAGGAGATGTGGAATAAGTCACAGCAAATCCTCCCAAAACAAACACACGAGGTGAGAAAGGGCACGAGAGGAGTCCAGCATATAAATGATTACCCCCTAAAATATTGCCCAATGTCAAGGATTTTTCCATCTCTCAAATGAAGCAAGGATACTTTCAATCTGGTTAAAGTGTAGTTTGCCTTTCCTCCTCCCCTTACTATACCTAAAAGGACAAAGGACTGCATTAATTCTAAGGGACGTCTTTGCTTCTATATTAGAATGCAAACAGAGTAACTGTTGCCCTAAATTTGGTGTCTGTGTGAGTGTGCCTTTGTGCACGCATATGTGGTTATGCACATACACTCATTTCTGTGTATAGCAGAGTGAAAGAGAGAGACAGAGATTATAGATGACACTAAAACTGCTCTAATCAGGGCAAGCTGGTCGCTGATCTCTTCATAGGGCGAGGGTGTCATTGATTGATGGCTGCAAGACTTGCTGATGTGCACAGGTTGAAGGGTGAAGAGGGAGTCACTGATCAGCCATGAGAGGCTGAAAATTGTGGGAACAACCTCGGGCTGTCTCTTAATAATGCAGCGCGACAAGCCCCCATCTGAGATGCCGAGATCATATCACACATGTCCCTGCCGGTCGCCACGTGCTCCCAACATGCCTAAACCTGGGGACAGAGATCTGAGATTCTGTTTTTGCACATGATATGGCACAATTTGAATCACAGTAACTAGGGGGCTGGGAGTCCATGAGCACTGACCCATCCACAGTATAAATGCTAAGCTGCCTATGATGGCAGGGTGGATATAATTAACCGCGGTTGGTTTGATTGAGTCTCCCATCCAGGGCCTGGGTGTTGGCCCTTTGGTGATCATGATGACTGTCCGGGCATTAATTATTGAATAATAGTTGGAAGAATGGCAATGGCTGATGACAGAAAATGAATGCTATAATCCATTGAATATACATAATTAGAAATAGTGAGATTTCCCCTGAGGACTATATTCTCATCATGACCGAAGTGGAGAGGGTTGCCTGAAAAATGGATTTAGGCAATTCCTTTCCCCTTCCTCCTCATGTTCCTCCTCAAATATCCAATCATGTGTTAGTAGAGATGGTCAAAAGTAGCTGCTCACTCACATGTCATCGCAGTAACTAAAGAGACTGAAACAGTCAGGATGCGGTTCAGTTTATGCTCTTTGAAATGAGCTGGCCAGAGAGAGCGGTCAGCCCTGCGTGTCTAATATTGAGTTTGGCAAAGAGAAGAGATATTATCTTCTCCTGGTTAGATTAAGTATTAGTAAATGTGATTGGGTAATGAAGGCGGTCAGGCCTCAGTGACCACCATGCTTTGCAGCTACTGCCGGCTTGGCTGCATCTAGGCACAGAGTCTTGAGGGAGTTTGTTTCGGGTCAGTGACAGCATAAAAGCTCAGTACAGCATTGCAGAGTCAGGCTGGGGCCTTTCCTCTGTCTGCCTCACTGACTGGCTGCACTGGCTGGAGGCACAATAGTAGTGGCATACTGATGCTGCTGCTGATGACAATATAAATATTGATGATGTAGATTGCAAGAAACAGAAGCAGTAAACATGAAATTATAACCCTGATGACCAAAGTGTGATTCTTAACAGGTTTTTTTTTATCTCCTTGTTGTTTTTTTCACTCCTTGTGATTCAAGCCTGACACAGACGGGTTTGGTTTCCACGGCACTCTGAGCGATCACGATGAGACGCCTGGAGACAAGCGTGGGTGTACTGTCGCAGAAGACGACACGTAATCAAACGTCCTTTTTGGATCTGGTTAGAGGTTGTCATATTTTTAGGGGCAGGAATGGGAAGAGGGGGGGGACCTGATGGCTGATGTCACAGTGAGATGGTGGCTCCAGAAGAGGGCGATGAGACGTGCCAGCAATGGTCCCCGGAGGCCGGTAAGAGCCACAGAGGAGGTAGTTAGCAAAGCTACGCGCCATTGCTGTGATAAATCACAGCTGTATGGTTAGGGCGATTACTCTCAGGGCCATCACGTGAATCTGTACATGCTTTCACTGTTTGTTTTCTCACTCCCCAGACTCTCCACGATATGTGTAGAGTGTTGACTCAGTTGTACTAGTTTATTTATATATTTTGCCCCTCTTGCACTTTTTTCTTGTGGTAGCGTTTGGACTGGGTGGTGCAGCGGTAAGGCGTTCAGGCTCAAATATCCTTGTGTGGACTATTGAAACAATGGCTGTTGATTGGTAAGGTGCCCTTTTTATCATACCTTAAAGTATGGTAGCCCGAGTGAGTTTAATCTTTCTGTTAAATAGAAAAAGTT